GTATGTGCCTTCCTGACATGAGGCACATTGACCGTAGGTAAAGATAAGGTTCTACTGTATGTGCCTTCCTGACATGAGGCACATTGACCGTAGGTAAAGATAAGGTTCTACTGTATGTGCCTTCCTGACATGAGGCACATTGACCGTAGGTAAAGATAAGGTTCTACTGTATGTGCCTTCCTGACATGAGGCACATTGACCGTAGGTAAAGATAAGGTTCTACTGTATGTGCCTTCCTGACATGAGGCACATTGACCGTAGGTAAAGATAAGGTTCTACTGTATGTGCCTTCCTGACATGAGGCACATTGACCGTAGGTAAAGATAAGGTTCTACTGTATGTGCCTTCCTGACATGAGGCACATTGACCGTAGGTAAAGATAAGGTTCTACTGTATGTGCCTTCCTGACATGAGGCACATTGACCGTAGGTAAAGATAAGGTTCTACTGTATGTGCCTTCCTGACATGAGGCACATTGACCGTAGGTAAAGATAAGGTTCTACTGTATGTGCCTTCCTGACATGAGGCACATTGACCGTAGGTAAAGATAAGGTTCTACTGTATGTGCCTTCCTGACATGAGGCACATTGACCGTAGGTAAAGATAAGGTTCTACTGTATGTGCCTTCCTGACATGAGGCACATTGACCGTAGGTAAAGATAAGGTTCTACTGTATGTGCCTTCCTGACATGAGGCACATTGACCGTAGGTAAAGATAAGGTTCTACTGTATGTGCCTTCCTGACATGAGGCACATTGACCGTAGGTAAAGATAAGGTTCTACTGTATGTGCCTTCCTGACATGAGGCACATTGACCGTAGGTAAAGATAAGGTTCTACTGTACTAGCCTAGTGCCCCTTTCAAGCCTACATAACATCCAAGACATTCCTGACATGAGGCACATTGACCGTAGGTAAAGATAAGGTTCTACTGTACTAGCCTAGTGCCCCTTTCAAGCCTACATAACCTCCAAGACATTCCTGACATGAGGCACATTGACCGTAGGTAAAGATAAGGTTCTACTGTATGTGCCTTCCTGACATGAGGCACATTGACCGTAGGTAAAGATAAGGTTCTACTGTATGTGCCTTCCTGACATGAGGCACATTGACCGTAGGTAAAGATAAGGTTCTACTGTATGTGCCTTCCTGACATGAGGCACATTGACCGTAGGTAAAGATAAGGTTCTACTGTATGTGCCTTCCTGACATGAGGCACATTGACCGTAGGTAAAGATAAGGTTCTACTGTATGTGCCTTCCTGACATGAGGCACATTGACCGTAGGTAAAGATAAGGTTCTACTGTATGTGCCTTCCTGACATGAGGCACATTGACCGTAGGTAAAGATAAGGTTCTACTGTATGTGCCTTCCTGACATGAGGCACATTGACCGTAGGTAAAGATAAGGTTCTACTGTATGTGCCTTCCTGACATGAGGCACATTGACCGTAGGTAAAGATAAGGTTCTACTGTATGTGCCTTCCTGACATGAGGCACATTGACCGTAGGTAAAGATAAGGTTCTACTGTATGTGCCTTCCTGACATGAGGCACATTGACCGTAGGTAAAGATAAGGTTCTACTGTATGTGCCTTCCTGACATGAGGCACATTGACCGTAGGTAAAGATAAGGTTCTACTGTATGTGCCTTCCTGACATGAGGCACATTGACCGTAGGTAAAGATAAGGTTCTACTGTATGTGCCTTCCTGACATGAGGCACATTGACCGTAGGTAAAGATAAGGTTCTACTGTATGTGCCTTCCTGACATGAGGCACATTGACCGTAGGTAAAGATAAGGTTCTACTGTATGTGCCTTCCTGACATGAGGCACATTGACCGTAGGTAAAGATAAGGTTCTACTGTATGTGCCTTCCTGACATGAGGCACATTGACCGTAGGTAAAGATAAGGTTCTACTGTATGTGCCTTCCTGACATGAGGCACATTGACCGTAGGTAAAGATAAGGTTCTACTGTATGTGCCTTCCTGACATGAGGCACATTGACCGTAGGTAAAGATAAGGTTCTACTGTATGTGCCTTCCTGACATGAGGCACATTGACCGTAGGTAAAGATAAGGTTCTACTGTATGTGCCTTCCTGACATGAGGCACATTGACCGTAGGTAAAGATAAGGTTCTACTGTATGTGCCTTCCTGACATGAGGCACATTGACCGTAGGTAAAGATAAGGTTCTACTGTATGTGCCTTCCTGACATGAGGCACATTGACCGTAGGTAAAGATAAGGTTCTACTGTATGTGCCTTCCTGACATGAGGCACATTGACCGTAGGTAAAGATAAGGTTCTACTGTATGTGCCTTCCTGACATGAGGCACATTGACCGTAGGTAAAGATAAGGTTCTACTGTACTAGCCTAGTGCCCCTTTCAAGCCTACATAACATCCAAGACATTCCTGACATGAGGCACATTGACCGTAGGTAAAGATAAGGTTCTACTGTACTAGCCTAGTGCCCCTTTCAAGCCTACATAACCTCCAAGACATTCCTGACATGAGGCACATTGACCGTAGGTAAAGATAAGGTTCTACTGTATGTGCCTTCCTGACATGAGGCACATTGACCGTAGGTAAAGATAAGGTTCTACTGTATGTGCCTTCCTGACATGAGGCACATTGACCGTAGGTAAAGATAAGGTTCTACTGTATGTGCCTTCCTGACATGAGGCACATTGACCGTAGGTAAAGATAAGGTTCTACTGTATGTGCCTTCCTGACATGAGGCACATTGACCGTAGGTAAAGATAAGGTTCTACTGTATGTGCCTTCCTGACATGAGGCACATTGACCGTAGGTAAAGATAAGGTTCTACTGTATGTGCCTTCCTGACATGAGGCACATTGACCGTAGGTAAAGATAAGGTTCTACTGTATGTGCCTTCCTGACATGAGGCACATTGACCGTAGGTAAAGATAAGGTTCTACTGTATGTGCCTTCCTGACATGAGGCACATTGACCGTAGGTAAAGATAAGGTTCTACTGTATGTGCCTTCCTGACATGAGGCACATTGACCGTAGGTAAAGATAAGGTTCTACTGTATGTGCCTTCCTGACATGAGGCACATTGACCGTAGGTAAAGATAAGGTTCTACTGTATGTGCCTTCCTGACATGAGGCACATTGACCGTAGGTAAAGATAAGGTTCTACTGTATGTGCCTTCCTGACATGAGGCACATTGACCGTAGGTAAAGATAAGGTTCTACTGTACTAGCCTAGTGCCCCTTTCAAGCCTACATAACCTCCAAGACAAATAACAGTGGATCTCCAGGTAGGTGTTTTTGAGACAGGTCTTGCTGCTGTTGAAGGTAATCTCTTACACGTAGTGAGGTACATTACAGCAGATTCATGATGACTGCCCACATAATACCAAGCAAGAATGGGTAGAGTGCACAAGAACAGGTAGAGTAACCAAGAACAGGTAGTGTGTGTGAGAACAAGTAGTGTGAGAACAAGTAGTGTGAGAGGAAAATGGGTAGAGTGCACAAGAACGGGTAGAGCACACAAAAATAGGCAGTGCGAGTGAGAACAGGTAGAGAATGAGGAGTGAAAAGGTGGAATTAATGTGCACTCTGTACCTGTGAAATAAGCTAATAAATTCTTGATATATTTAAAAGAAAAAATTATGCGCCATACTACAATGGCATAACCAGTCACAAGGGACAATACATGCACACTGTACCACATCACATAGTGCGGAAAGTGTGTGTTTCTGGCACACTGTGTATCAGATTACTACAGCACTCCTCCATATTTATCACCTCCCCACCGTTATAATGCTTATAAATACCTTAACACTTTCCGGCCATGAGGACTCCTCCCGGCGTCCTGTTTCGCCTACCCGCTACCGCTAAGTGGACATAAACTAATGTCCTCTTAAAATATTTGTATAAAATTCAATTTTTATCCGATTTACTTTGGGTTTGTTTCAAACTGCGCGCCATGAGGCTCTCTTTCTCACCAATAGGCTGCATGGTACAATAAGTTCATGAAAGGTTCACAAACATAACAAAAGTAAAAACATTTCGTGTGTGTTTGACTCTCACTGATATGTTTCAGCGTTGTTTTATATTTGGCGCTATTCTATCTTACGCTTTGTTGATCTTTTTTACCTACGGGCTCATAGAACATTCTATTGCGAACACATTGACACAAAAACTGAATGACGTACATACAATAATAATGTCATAAGAGTGAAATAAGTATAAACTTTCAAAGCGCCGTGCGTCGTCCCGTCACCGATACCGGGTAACAATTTCACCACTTCCCACACTCTTGCGGGTGGGCCGCATCATTATTCTACGTTTATATTCATATCACGGTGTTGGGAATTTCATTGTGAGTCCATTGATACCAAAATTAACGCTGTAGGACAAGTGTGGAGGTGATAACAATCCCAAGAGTAAAAACATTTTGTTGCTGTTGGGCGCTCACGGCGAGTCATCTTCGTAGTTATTTATTTGGTGCTGGTATCCCTATACGTTTCGTGACTTTTTTTACTGATGTTCTTCTAGAGAATTTTATTGCGAACACGTTGGTACCAAAATGAAATACGTAGCTCGAGAACTAAGGTCAGGAGAGTAAAAAGAGTATACACATTTTTGTTTTTACGCTTACGCGGCAAAACGCCGGGAGCACTTACGGTTGTTTTTTTTACATTCGCCCGGAGCCGGAGAGTGTTAATAGAAAATTACTCAGAAGACCAAAGTTAGAGAGCAGTCGGAATCATGGGAGATGAGAACACCTCCAGGCTACTCCAAAACTTTGTGAATTGCACCCAGAAAATAAATGAATACTAGCAAAACTGTTTGGAGTTGGAATGGAAAGCAGTACGCTCATGTGATGCCGTAACTATATCCTACACACCAAACTGCAAAGGTAAGTCATCATCTGTAAACTTTCACTTCATACTTCACATACAACAACAACCACCTGTGTATAGTGTGCACAAGCACGCATGCATATTATTCACACACTACTCACTTCTTGAGGGAATTTGTGATAAGCAGGTGCACGTCTTGCCGCTCATCCAACAGTAACATGGCTCCGAGGTAACCGATGCGTTTGTCAGTGAAACGTGGCGATGCAATTAGCTTAAGGCATTCCATCTGACCAAAGTGAGCAGGATATCTGAGGACGACAAGTATGGAACATTTATCATTATCCATAAATTAGATTATATATTGTACAGTATATGTATTACACATCATTTCCCCATTGTCCACTATAATGGAGTTAGGAGACATAGAAAAAGACAGAATAATATAGGAAGATATGGTAACAGTTGTTTGATACCAATAGACCATAATACATGTGACAAATGTCATTTACCTGTAATAAAATCCCTTGTAGCAACTTCCAACACGGTAGAAAACTATAAAACAACATGGTGAAGTGTCTATAGCTTGCTTCATGTGTGATAATTACAAATTTTCCTTAATACAGTCATATACCTCACAAAAATATACTGACTTTGAAGGATAATTAAATAATAAATATTTAATTATTAGGATATACCGTATTTGCCGGCGTATAAGACGCACCTCTGCACAGAATGCACCCCTATTTTACAAGGATATTTTGTGGAAAAACCCCACTTTAGAATGTTTCATCATACACTTATTGAAAGATATTTTAAAGTGGATTTTGTACCACAACTCTTACTTCCTCCTCTAAGATCAGCTGTAGTGTAGTTGTTTATATTTTGGGCAAGAGAGTTGCTATACAGGATGTGAAACTTGTCTTTCTGGATGTCATGTTTTGTTGCAGCATGAGGCCACCAGGGCAGTGCACCCGGCGGTGGCACACCGTCACAAAGTTATAGTGGTGGTGTTGCATTGCAAACGGCCGACAGACGGATGAAAGTTGAACATTCCTTCCAAATTTCTAGGATCATTTTTCAATTAGATAATGAATAAATGTGTCTTAACCCTTAAACTGCGCATGGCGTATATATACGCCCTGAGTAACATGTCCCATGGTGCGCATGGCGTATATATACGCCATAGGGTGCCAGGCCTGATTCAAATGGCCCGTGGCTACACGGGATTCACAGTAGCTTCCTCAGGGCTCTTGTAAACAGATGCCATTTAAAAAAAAAAAATCGTGAGCAATATTCTCAGGTGTGAGAGGCACAGTACTGTTGGAGCAACCAAGGCCGGCGCACGCAGCATGAGCGAACAGCATTGATGTTCAGCTTGTGACCACAGCATCGCCGAAAAATGTCAAAATAAATATATAATTGTTATTATTTAGCGATGACAGTATTACAGATGACCAATGACTGATATAAATAACCAGGGTTGTGATAATAGCAGGATTGTTGTAATAATTAGCGCTGTGTGAGGAGTGATGCTGAGAGACGGAGGGAGACAGCATCGTTTACTGACTGTGTGGCCACCTGTTATTGTTTGCATTCACCATACCAGGTCAGTGGTTCTCTATGGTGAACACAAATGTAGATACTTATATATAATGTGTGTATTAGTGTAATAACAGCAAAAGGATTATGCTGGGAGGAGCCATATGGGTGACGGAGGTGACGTCGTCTGCACGATTTGTCTAGCTGTTTAGAGGGTGGCCACTATGCTCTTTGGGCGCACTACAAGCTTAGGTGTACAGTTACGGTGCATAAAACATGTAGATATTTATATATAATATGTGTATATAGGGTAATAACACTGCAAAAGGTATTGTTGGGGGAGAAAGTTTAGTGCGTGTGACCTTGAATGAGTGAGGGAGCCGCCAGCCGCCATCTGTGTATAGCGACGACTCTTAGTGCCTGAACTAACTATATCAGCTTAGCTGTACAGTTGTGGTGAACAAAATATATACATACTTATATATAACGTCTGTATATAGTGTAATAACACCACAACTGGTATTGTTGGGGGAGAAAGTTTAGTGCGTGTGACCTTGAATGAGTGAGGGAGCCGCCAGCCGCCATCTGTGTATAGCGACGACTCTTGGTGCCTGAACTAACTATATCAGCTTAGCTGTACAGTTGTGGTGAACAAAATATACACATACTTATATATAACGTCTGTATATAGTGTAATAACACCACAAATGGTATTGTTGGGGGAGAAAGTTTAGTGCGTGTGTTGAGGGAGTGGCAGCGAGTGGCTGGCTGGTGTGTGGCGGTAACTCCTCGTTGCTTTTCGACTCTCAATACCAACTTAGTGGTTTGTTATGGTGAACAAAACATGCCAATACTTATATATAACCTGTGTATAGAGTGTAATAGCAGCAAAACTATTTGTTTATTGTTTTAAAAACATAATAATTGAATCACTAATATGCACATCATACTTTTGAGTATAGCGATTATTAACCACTTTTATTATATAAATATATTACAATACACACTATTGAATAATATTACTGCAAAAAAACTAAGAAAAAATCAATCGGAGACATTGAAACAATTAGGTAACAATATCTTTGTGGCAACTCCCACCTGTCAACGCGGGTGACATTGACCGGGTCTGACGACCGCTCTGTCAACGCCCACTTTTTGCCAGACTTCCTCGGTCAATTGCGCCCAAAATATGTCACCTACGATTTTTTTTTTTTCCGTGCTCAGGGGACACAAATTAACATGTTTAGAAGACGAAAAAAAAATTTTGAATTTTTTTTTTTCTTGCGCACAGGGGTGTAAATGTCCCAAGGACCCCTGAGCAGTGTAAGGGTTAAAGGTTATAGTCATTAAATAATGTCTGACATACTGTATCAGGTGAGGGTTATGTATACTGAGCAAGACGATGTGAGCTGCTTTCATAACTGCCGACGTATCCTAAGTTTGAGAACAGACTGTGATAAAATATTGAAAGCCATGTTATTATTAGCAATGATTTTTGTGCCTAGCGAATTTACCCAGTATACTCATCCGGCTCCCTAGCCTATGCCCCTCGATCTCCTATCCGTAATACGGCCACATTAGACGCAGGGCACTTTTTTGATACATTGAAAAATAAAAAATTTGTCTCTTATACATCGGCAAATAGAGTACGTACTCAAATTTTAATACATTATAAATGAATTGTAATGATATGGTATGCTCTGATGGTACAGAGCTAGTGTTTTGTTATCCACACTATTATAAAACAAATTACAAGTCAAACCAATATGGAATTCACCAACACCTCAAATTCCTGGTCCTTAAAAACAAGGCAGGCCAACTCTGAGGTATCCAACTAATCACAAAGCCACGTATGTTGAAGACAGGCAACACACACCCTCAAAGCAGCAACTGTCTCACAGGCATGCACTTCTTTTGGAGGGTCAAAGTGAAGAGCCACATGGGAGAAACAAACCCCACAGGGCTCATAGGTATCACCAACCCAACAGGCAGCGTGGCAGAGAAAAAAAAGATTGTCAGCCAGCAGCCTGGACAATAAACAGCACAAATGCTTGCATGCATGTGCGCCAAGGAACTGATCCCTAAAAAACCTGAAGAGGAAGCTGGCGATGTAGCAACCGACACAAAGCTCCCCGAGGGCCGAACCCAACGATCGAGAGTGGCGGAAGGGAGATCCGTGAATGAACCAGAACAGCCACCGAAGTCACACCCGACCTGACGGGTAAACAAGCATGGCTAAGTTCAGACTTGCACAGCTGCTGAGTGACTCGTGAGCCCTCCAGAAACAGGCGAAGGCAGGACCGCAGCCACAGCAACGACCTCAGAGGGAGAGACAAGGAAGCAGTCCAAGTCCCACACAAGACTCAGCCAAGTTCGAACACGGGATGGAACCAGCAACTTGTCTTCAGACCAAGTCCATTCTATCCACTGATCGACCCCAAAGACAAATTCATCAATTTTAACGTCCTGTTCATTCAATACTGAACTTTTGCTCAAATATAAATTATTAATATTAAATATTAGCATATTGTGCATATTTAGGCACTGGTTAGGTTAGGTGTTTACATTCTGTTGGTGATTATTTGTATTTGCAGTTTGTGAGTGAAGCATTTACAGCATTGTGGTCAGAAAAAAAGTTGTCAGCGAAGCACTTGTTTCAGAAGTGTTTGGATGTCATCGGTTCCGAGTCGTGTGTAAACCACTTTTCCTTCATAAACAGGGGGTTTGACGGGTGCATGGAATGTACTTTGGATCTTTGTTTGGAGGATGGGATGGAACCAGATGGGACTTCCTTCAGTTCACCAGGAACCCGAACCCGGCGAGCTGGGAAAGAACTGCCCACACCACCAGCTGCTGGGAAAGCCCACACCAACCAGTCGTTGAGGTAGGCCAGAATCCAAACCCCTAACAGACGAAGAAGGGCCAAGACGACCTGGGTAAGACACTTGAATACGCGAGGTGCCAGATTCAGGCCAAATGGAAGGCAATGAAAGCGGAAAGCCTGCCGCCACACCACAAATCCGAACCAGTCCCTGAACCTTGGATGAATAGAGACGTGCCATTACATGTCCTGGAGGTCCAGAGACACCATCCAAACACCCGGCTCCAAGAGAAGACGGATCTGAGACAGAGTGGTAATCCAAAAAGAGGGGCAAAAGATCCAGAGGTTTAGGCAGGACATGTCCAGAATGAACCTCAGATCCGCATAGTCCCATTTCGAGACTGGAAACAGACGAGTAACCCACCTGAGCAATGTGGACGTTTCCACCACGCCCAAGCATACCTACTCCAAGATGACCTGACAGAGCGCCAGCCCTGAACCTCCCGGAGGAGGAGGAGGAGGAGGAGCCACCCAAAGCCAGCACAGGCTGGAAGAAATGACCCGAAATGCTCACGAATCGTGAGACCAGGCGTGATCAAACTGCGCGAGCCTTCCCCTCATTGCCCTGTCAATGGGGGCAGCACGCGAAACAGCCAACTGCCTACAAGAACTTGACCGACGAACAGAGTGACTACTGCGCTGACCAGACGCCACCGGCTCTGAAACTGGCACCACCAGCCTACCTCGTCTAGAGGAGTCCCGAACCCTGGCGTGACCCTTATGGGAAGGCCAATCCCCCCCCCCCCCCCCCTGGAGAACCAATAAGTCCAACATGGGATGACAACTAGATGAAGCTGCTTGCAGAAAAGGGTGATGAACACCTAAGACCCAGAGCCCAAGCAGATTCCAAGGAGAGAGCATTCTGGCTTCTGTTGGAGCACCCGGCTC